TAGCTAATTAGAGAGCTCCTCCCAGGGGACGCCTGGTCATCTCCCTCTCTCCTCAGTCATTCCTTGTCTATGGCTCTTTGCTGAGGGGTGGGGCTTTCGTGAGATTCCTGTCATCCATGGTGGGATGATATCAGGGGTGTTGTGATTATTCAGGTCTTGTTTAGGCAACGTTATAGTTAAGATTTCCTGAGTATGATTTCCCTTGCATATATAGAAGCTGTAAATCTCTCAGTAGATGTCCTGGGCCTTTGTTCTTTCAATCTTTCCAGTTTCTCTTTTGAGATGTTCTCAGCTGGGGCTGGACACCCCATGATCACTTGTTCTCTGCATTTTGGTCAGTTGTGGTTTTCTGGAACAGTCTCCATCTGCTGCAAAGAGAGGGTTCTTTGATAAAGGGTGCAATTTTATGTTTTCCTGTGGGCATAAGGATAACTGTTTAGGATGCAGTTAGGGGTACAGTGGTTTAAGGTGTGTTCTCCTCTAGGTTCTATGGCCTCACCAGTGAGTCATGTGTAATTGTCTAGATTTGCAGTGCCAGGCATGGTTTCTGTCCCATTGAGTAAATTAGACAGCTTTGGTTACCTCCCAATTATACTTCCCATCTCTGGGGACATCATGTTATTCTAGCTGTTGTTTGTAGGTGTCATAGCTGGGTAGGACTACTGGTTACTTTTCTCCTATGGCATCTTGAATGGCACCTTCAGGTACTATGGAAGATAGTCCTCAGGAAGGAGGCTTCCAGGTCAGGTTCAGCTCAATTCTTCCATTGTGTCTCAGAAACCGGGTCTTACTTCAAGTTCTGGAAGGCAACCAAGGACAGGCAGGAAGGCAGCAATCGCCTGCATTGTTTTGGGAATCCTTTGCATTCTTCTGACCAAGAACTCAAAGGGAGATTTCTCATGCTTGGTACTGGGGTTTTTGTGAGCAAGACTATGGATCTTGAGGAAAGCCTTGTTGCCCCTAGTGGATTAACTTCATCACACACACACACACACACACACACACACACACACACACACACACACACACACACAAAGAGTAAGAGTAATCCCGTAAGGACTGGAAAGATGGTTCAGTTGTTAAAGGCTAGGCTCACAACCAAAATATACAAGAATAAGCACATAAAAGTCCTCAACAACACTAATCATCAGATGTACAGGTCAAAAGTACTATAACGTGCCCCTTATAACCATTAGGAAGTGTGGCTCCAAAGGAAGACTGTTTGCAAAAGGAAGGATGGGAGGGAAGGGAAGGTTCCAGTAGTGTCTCTACACTGTTTGAACTTGTGTGTATGGTTGACAGAACTGAATAACTGTATGGTCCCTGTGGAAAACAGTATGGCAATACCTCAAAAAAATTAAAAACAAGGCTAAAATATGATCCAATTATTCCACCTCTGGTTATGTGCCCAAATGAACAGAATTCAAGGTATGAGAGAGATATTTGCAAGCAATGCTCATAGCAGTTTTATTTATCAAAGTTAAAATGTGAAAGCAACTGGTTTCCATCAATGCATAAACAAAAGTGTAGCTTTTCCACACAGTGGAATGTTATTATGCCCCCCAAAGAAAGGGAATTTTTATATGTGTTACAGCACAGATGAACCTCGGGGGCACCACACTAAATGACATATCAGTCATAACAAGATAAATATTGTGTGCTCACTTAGATAAAGCAGAACAGTCAAAATCACAAGAGACAATAGTGGAAGAGAGGTAAAGACGGTCATGGAAAAGGATAGTGGCAATGGTGTATTCCTGATGCCTTCCATCTTACCAAGCACCTTTCAACAACTAAGATGGAAATCTTATGTAATGCGTACCTAGGGCCGCAATTTCCTGATACTAAGAATGTTTACCTAAAATTGTATACAATATGTATGTGTGGGTATGTGGTTATGCGGTGTGTGTGTGTGTGTGTGTGTGTGTGTGTGTGTGTTCTGTGTTCTGTTCTGAGTTTTAACAATTCTTTCTGTAGTGGGGATATTTATCTCTTATTAGTTTTATTGTTTGCATTTTTCTCCCGCTCTGTAGAAGGCATTTTTCTGTTGATAGTATCTTTTTATATATAAATTAAAAATTTTAATCCAAGCCCAATTCATCTGATTTTTCCCTTTTATTTTTGAAACCATATACTTTGTATATTCATTTAAAAAAAGCAGTTGATATAACTGACAGGGGAAGGCTATCACACATACCTTCTCAAGTGTTTAACAGGTCTTTTCTAGTCTGCTAATTAGAGCAGTGAGCAGTAGTGACTATGCATGATGTCCCTGCACACAGGGCTCACACTTCTGCTCCACTTAAATTCACTCAATGGTGACAAACTTAACAATTTTCAATAATGAGAATTTCAGTCAGAATTCTCACAACTTTCCATCTTAACAAGTCTAAAACCAACAACATAATAGGATTAAAGTCACAAAACAGATCTAATTAGTATTTTTGATCTAATACTTAAAACCAAATATGCAAATTCTTAAGCGTTAGTTAAAAACTTTAATAGTATAAAAAGATTTGCTAAGCCATTTTTATGTGTATGTGTGTATGGGTATGCATGTGTATTTATGTATATGTATTTGTGTATGACTGTATATGTGCGCACATGCATATATGGGCTCAGGCATGTGTGTTTGTGTGGGTGGTGTTTCGAGTGTTGCACAGCGTGACCTGTGGGTGGAGGTCAGAGATTGATTTCAGGCGTTCCTCAAATGCCGTCACTTTTGCTTTTTTTGAGACAGTGTCACCCATTGACCCAGAGATGTCTGATTAAGATAGACTGGCTGGCCAGTGGGGCATATGGCTGAATCTACAGGTGGGTGCCACCATGCCTGGCTCCTTTTCATATGAGTTGCAGTTGTGTAACTCAGGTCCCCAAGCTTGTAACTCAACTATCTCGCCAGCAATTCAATATTAATTGTGAAATCTCAGGTTGAATATTGGGGTTCCCAAAGATGGGCTGACCTGGTGGATAGTCCATGCCTAAGAGACGCCGTTGTCTCAGGAGAGCTAGGAGAATAGGGACTGTGGCTAGGGACCCAGGGGTCACACAGGAGCAAAGCAGACTTCTGCGCAGGACAGACGGATGAGCTGACCTTGACTCTCCATTCTCTTGGGGCGACCATTCCACATTGTTAGCGAGTGGGTTTCTGATGGGGTCTACCGTCCCTGCTTCATGCACCATCTGGGTTCCGAGAGCCCTGGCATATTGACTGCCCGGCTATGTGTCTGGTTGCTTGGCCACTGATGCCCTTGCTCCTCAGCAAGGTGCGGTGTCACAAGTGGCCAAGGCCTGCTGTAGCTTTCCTCTTCAAACTGTTTCACCACGTGAACATGAACCCCCCTTTGTTTCTCTGCAAATGACATGCAATTCAAACTTATTTCCCACAAATCCCTAACCAGCCCCCCACTTATATTCCTTCTACATAGAAATTGCAACATTAGGACTGCATTTTTTTGTTTGTTTGTTTGTTTGTTTTTTTGCTTTGAGCTCTTCTGTGGCTCCTGGTCCACCAGGAGTAGAATATAAAACCTTGAACTTGGCCAGCAAGTCCCTGCATGATCTACTCTCCCTTCCGCCGTGACCTCATCGCCCAAGGTGTGACCTCATCGCAGACAGCTTTCTTATTCAGCTGCGGTTGCAGCCTAACTGGCCTTCTTGCATTTTTTTCCCAGCAGAAACCAAGACTCCTACACCTGGGGGCCTTCACACAGCTCTTCCCCGGGCCCCAGACACCATCTCCTTCACTCCTTAGGAGCTCTGCATGCTACAGGCCTCAGCTCCTGGCGTGTCCCACAGAGGCTATGAGTCTTCACAAACCGTGGCATACGATTACCATCACTCTTTAACTCAGAATTGTTACAGCTAATTTGTATAACCACTTTGGCTTCATGGGAGGTGCCAGTAACTGTTGATTTGAAATATCTAAACGTTGTAACTGGCATTCATGAAAACATTAAAAAAAATCGCCTATGGCCCTTTAATCATTCTAAAACAGTAGTCTTTCTGATTTTTTGTATTTTAACAAAAGGCACCTTTTGACTTTATAAAGAGGTCGCTGAACATTAGCTAATAGGTTTCTAGTTAGTAATTAATATTGCTTGATGTAGTTATGAATTTTATATGTGACTTGTGGCTTTTTTATCCCCGCCCCCTTAGTGTCCGCAGAGAGATTTCCTTTTTCTTTTTTTCCTTTTCTGACAGAGATACTGGCGATAGATGGCGGCCCCTCTTCTAGATCACATTGCCTTTCTGCCTCCTGGAAGTCTTGCCAGGGCTTCCTGAATCTTAACCCTTTAGAGCCCTCCGGCTGCTGAGTCCCCACGAAGGCTTCCTATTGCTGGCTCTGCATCTTGTCACCCATCAGCGTGGAATACCACCTTTAAAATGATTGGGAACGTCTCGTTGTCACAGATGCATTAAAGAAAAAATGCACAAACGCGAAATGACAGATCACCTCGAGAGACAATCAGCTCGTTGTTTATAGCTCAAAACGCATTTTTGGCAACCCAAATGGGGAGGTGAGCGTGGCGGATAAGAATGGGAGTGGCGGCGCGTGGCGGGGCTGGCGGCCAGGCCGGGCGCCTTTAACTCGGCGTGACCTCGCGTCTGGCCCGCGCCCCCTCCTCCGCGCGCACCGCTGTCCTGCAGCGATTGGTGCTTGGACCATAAACAGCTGTGCAGGGCCCGGTGGTGCGGAGGCCCCGGGCCCGCCAGCGCAGCCAGGCCACCGGGGAGTGACTTCCACTCAGGATCGCGGAGGGCGCAGGCCGTTGGCGTGTGGCAGGCGGCGTGGGCCTGGCGTCCCCGCGCGTTCGTGGCGCCCCGTGGCTCCGGCTGGGCGCAGGTGGGCCGGGCCGGGCCCCGCGGATCGGCGCGTTCCCACGAAGGCTAGCCCTCGGAGCGAGGGGGAGGGACCATCGGAAAGACGTGGAACGATCCGTGCGGTGTCATCGGCAGGGCCCAGGCCCCGCGCCGCCGCCGCCGCCGCCGCCGCCGCCGTCGCCGCCGCCGCTGGGGGTTTGCTGCGGGGATCCGCGCTGAGCCTCCGCGCAACCCCGAGATTAGCATGACACTGGGTGGCCGTCCCGCTTCCTGCCGTGCCAAGGCGCAGCGCGCTAGTCCCCGAGCCCCGATGGCCCCGCGCGCGGGCCGATCGCCGGGCTCCGCAGCCACCGCGGCCCGTGAGTAGGAGTATGCCTGCGGCGGGGGACCCACGCGTGTCGGCACGCGCCCCCACCCTCCCGCGCCCCCGCCAGCCTCGGAAGGAGGAAGCCTGAAGCGGCGCCGCGGTCGTCAGCACCCTTCGGGCTCTTCCTGCGTTGTCGCAGTAGCCGTACCGGTGCTCCCGCGCGCCCCCCGTTCGAGCCTCTGGAATGAAGAGTGCCTCCCGAGGACTGCGGGAGAGACAGAGGCAGCCAGCGCCAGGGACTGCGGGCCTCGCGCTTGGGAGGTCCGGGGGGACACGACTCGGACGCTGTCATCCCCACGCCTGGCGCTGAAGCCTCCCGGTGCGGTTGAGGCTGTCGCCGCCTGATCAAGCTGCTCGGGCGTGCGATCCCGGGTCGGCCCCCGGAGGCCTCGGCTTCCTCATTTGTTTGGGTCTTTTGTGCTGTGGCGCACAGTTGGCTAAGCACTCCTGCGCTGAATCGGGCCATTGTCTGCGCTCCCATTGCTTCCACGCTGCAAGTCTCGGCGCCCCCACCCCGGCCGCCCCCTCCCGGCCGCCGAGCCTCCCAACGTGCCTTCCCCCCCAGGAATCTGGAAGCTGGAAGCCGGGCGGATTGCAAATGAAGTGGAATGCATTGTGGGACGAGTATAAAATCGGAGCCTTCACCGTGGGGGTGTGGGGGGGCGTGGGGAGGGCCGGACCTGCGGCTGGCGGTGTAGACACCGACGAGAAGAGGGGCTGGGGAAAAAAAATGTGCGCAGAGTCCTCCCGGGTCCTGGCCTCGGTAGACGGATGAAGCAGCGCGCTGCGCCCCGGCGCTGAGGCCCCACAATCGGGGCACCAGGGTCGCCCTTGCCCACCATGAAGAAGACCCGGAGCACAACCTTGCGGCGAGCCTGGCCTAGCTCGGATTTCTCGGACCGGGCCTCGGACCGCATGAGGTCCCGCAGCGAGAAGGACTACCGCCTGCACAAGCGCTTCCCCGCGGCCTTCGCGCCCCAGGCTTCTCGGGGCTACATGACATCAGGTTGGTAACCACCGTTCCGCCGCCGGCCGTGTTCGGTGCGCCGCTGCTAGTTTGGGGGTAGAGGACCTGCGGTGATGGATGTGCCGAGTTGTGGGGAAAACAGGGAGAAATTAGCTCCAATCCACCATTTTGTACCTCTGCAAGATCCACAGCAGGCCCTCTCAATATGGGGTTGGAGAGCTATTAGTTAGGTAAAATCGGGGAGGGGGATCGAGCCGAGCATCTCGTCTGTAGGGAGATATGAGGACTGCAGTCTCTCTGAGCTTTGTGAAAGGAGAGCCTGTGTCTAGGGTTGCGGGCAGTACAAGGTTCGCCTGTGCCTGCATTATGGCCAGTTACCTTAGAGGGTATTTAAACAGACATCGCCACCCCGCCCCCCCTCCAAAAAAGGGGGAACAGGTTCCATGCACCTTTCTAGATGACTCGAGGCTGGGGAAAGCTCTGCCCATGTCCATCTGAGAATGGTTCCATTTGCACGCAGGAACTGTGCTAGGGAGGGGATTGTGGTGTATTTGCCTATGGAATACCCACAGGATTGTGTGTGGACTTGTGCCGTGGATGGAATGGAGGCTATATCGTGTTTTGCATGCCGGATGGGAAGGACAAACACAATGGTTTATAGAAGTGAAGGCTTCAAAACAGGTTTCCTGTGAAAATGCAGCCACTGTCCAGAGCCTCCTAGAATGAGCAGGTTTTCTTTGAATTCCATTCGCTGGTTTTGCTTCATGGCTTGGGAACCCAGGGATACTGTGCCTGAGATGCTGATGGGGGGGGGATCCTGGGAATCTTGCGTTTTGTGTTCCTTACTTGTATGTGAAGAGGCGGAAGGCATCAATGTTTTCATTCTGGAAAAATTAATTTGCTGTTAAATGCAATGTGAAGAAGCGTGGAGACTTAGTTCTAAAGTCAAGTCCCTGTACCAAATCACCCTAAGCCCTGTCTTAACTGGGGAGGTTGTTTTAAGACTGTGGTTGGTACTTACAGTCTAGCTTTGTTTTCTTCTTAAACAGCAAATCCTTTTAAATTGGGGTCACAATCTCACACCTCAAAAATGTCCCATGACCATGTCTCCATTCCCAGAAAAGCCTCAATAAACGTAACTATCCTTTTTATTGCAAAATCGGGCAATATAAGGATGTTCCGCGCTGTTTCGGCAATCGCTGTTCACGAAAAACCATTTTTGGAAAAGAAGCGACAACCACAGTTTATGTTTAAGTAATCTAAGTCATGGTTGTGGTTGCTGTATTCTTCAGGCTCATGGCAGTAAATGTACTGTACACCTAGCGCCAATTCTACCTTGTACACAAACCTGTGTCTATACTGAGTGTTAGGCTCATCCTAGGCTCCCCGCCCCCCCACTTAGGTTTGGGTGCTTTCATTGCATCCTCAGCAAGCTCCCCCCCCCGCCAAACCAGAATTGACACTAAATGCAGAAGTGCTGGAGGGCAGGTGGCTATCAGTTCTCCAAGCCTGCAAGACTTTTTAATAATGTCAGGCACATTGCTGTGGACTCTATTTTTATCTGCCTCAGCCTTGCGTCCTTGGGATCACATTTTCAGACTTTGTAAAAGAACTCCATGATTGCCAGTGCTGTGAGACATTTTTGAGGGCACGAGGAAGTCTTCCAATTTTGCCTGATCTTCTCATTTCATTCCGAGTGACGTCTGCAGATGGTCAGATGGCCTTCCTGGGATCATCTGCTCCAAGCTGGCTATGTCCAGATTCAGTGTTAGGTTACCGTTGAGATCCTAGGATCCACAGGAGAGTGCTGTGCCATTCATTCATCATTTGATGGAGTGCTCCTGAAGACTTCTTGAGAGGATACAGGGTTGGGCAGAACATGGGCTTTGCCCAGGATGTCAGCTAGTACATGGAACGAAAAGCAGGTCTAGGGTTTATTGAAATAAATAGTGAATCCCAAGACGAGTGCCTACAATGAGCTTTGAGAGGGAGGCGGACCCTTTCTCCTATGCAACTTCTTGGTTGGGGTGGCTGTAGAGGGCAAGTGTCTTTGTCATTTTTCTCTCCCAAATTTGGCTCCTTTCAGCACGTGGGAGGTGGTGGAAGCTAATGTGTGAAGCCCATGGAGATCATTTGGAGGATGCTTCCTCCAACAAGATATGAAGAGAGTCTACTGTTTCAAGTTGGTTGTTCTTAGTGCAGGCAGGAGTATGTTTCATGGCTCACAGTCTGAAATAGGAAATGAAGCATCCTAGAAACATGAAGGCCTTTGACAGTTCGTTCTGTTCACCCAGTTGTTGGTCTCACTATTTCCTGTTACCACACTCCATTTTTAGTCAAGAAGAGTTTTGTGGTAGGTAAATTATTTGGATTCAGAGATAAGCCTCTTCAAAACTGTGCTAAATAGTCTAAAACTCCTTCAGCTCTGAGACTTTTTTTTAGACACTCCCCCAGAAAATATGAAAATTCAGGGAAATAATGAAAAAAAAAGAAACACTTAGGGGAATGAGAAACCCCAAGATGTTTTTTTACGAATACACAATGATAGATGTCATGGATTCAGCACAGCTATCTAGCACATAGTAGGAGTGTCAAGTAGAGTTGTAGGCATATATGATAGGTTTTACTGAGACAGCACCATTTCTAACTGGTAATAAGTAATTACCAGTGTGGAATGGGATTTATAGCAGTGGGCTTGACCTTGCTTCCTTCCTTCCTTCCTTCCTTCCTTCCTTCCTTCCTTCCTTCCTTCCTTCCTTTCTTTTTCCTGCTTCCTTCTGGAGAGAAATTTAAGCTAACGAGGGTGGACCAGATACACATAAGGCTGATCAGGTCTTTCAGGGAGACAGTTGGATAGGAACCTGTGAAAGTTTCTGTTGTGAAGGCCATGCTTTCTTTCTTTGCCTCTTTTCAGTGAACAAATCTACAGCAATCCTAAGAGCCCCCAGCCTCCTAGCAACCAGGGAGTTCACAGGCCTGGAGAAGAGTTCATTGTTCCTCTTTCAGATTCATTTCCCAACAGTGGCTTCTGAGCAGAAGTGTGTGTGTGTGTGTGTGTGTGTGTGTGTGTGTGTGTGTGTGTGTGGTGACCACAAAAGGTGCACAGTTATAAGAAGAAAGGGCGTTAAATCCGATGGATGTGGGACCATTCTGCCTCATTTTTATACCACTAGATTGCAATTGTGATGTTAGCTAGAGGGAAGAGTCGAACTCCCCATGAAGAAGGGAATCCGTATAATCCTCAGAGCCGTGTATTTGCAGCCATGATTATAGACCACTGGGAAATGATTGGAGAGTCTTCAGGTTTGTGTGGGCGAAGCCCTTAGAACCTTCTACGCTCTTTGTGAGTGTGCTTGGATGATGATGCCATGACCTCTCTTTCTTTTGCTCTCCCCTTGGGCTGTACTGAGGGTGACTGATAATTCATGTCCCACGTATAATGCTGCCAGAATTTTGGTGGGTAGTCTAGCATTGGTAGGATTACAAGTTAATTTTTCTAGTCTTCGGGCTCTACTGAGGATGCCTATAAAAAACTTAGCGTGTTAATGAGAACACTAAGTGGTGGCAAGTTTTCAGTCGATTCTTACGTTTTAAAATCATGCATTAAAGGAAGAGAGCTGATTGTTTTTAATACTATGGCCCTATGGAGTTTGAAAAGAATGATAAAATGAAAGCCCTAACCTGACATCCTAAAAAAATTTGGATAGTTTTGCCTGATGATGATTTAATTACTGGGGAGACATGGCTGGCATACCACTTGATTAATTTATTGGTTTTCATTTTACAGAAACTAGTTCCGGTGCTTTAGTGGGATCCAGTCTCTCATACGCTCTTATTGTAAGAGACATGACAGTTCTAGTCATGGCCTGTCCAAGCTAGCTGTGTTCCCCTAGAGTCAAATGAGCTCCCTCTGTTCATAATGTGTCCATTGGTTCCAGGCCTCCATTATGGAAGTTTCATAGTAAGATAGCTGGGAACTTCTGAATGTAGCAAGTGATCGAAATTCTTAGGACAGCCATTGTCCTTCTCTGACCCCTGGAGTCACGTGTGCATCTGTATTCAGTTGTGGTGCTCATGTTGGAATCCTACTTCCTGCCATCCTTAGGCCCTGTGTTAAGTGTGTGCACCATTGTGATCAGGTGACAAGTTTTAATAGATGGCATCCTCTTTCTTCCCTTTCCTTCTTTGGCTCTGCTCTTCCAACTGTCTTGATTTGTATCTGCCCATATTGACTGCTGTCATCAGGCGAGTGGAAGTGAGGGATGATATACTCGGAGGCCAATGGCTTTCTTCATTATTTCTCAAGGGAGCATGGGCATGCGTATAAAGGTTACCTCTCTTGGTATTTGAATGCCTTTTACACTCTTTGGAAAATTTTTCATTTGAAAAAGAAAAAGAGTGTGCTGTATAAAACCTTAGGAAGCCTTAAATTCCCTGTACCCCTAGAGATTTGGAGTAGATTAGACAAGGGTGTGTTCTTTGGTACAATATTGTTTATGCTGAAATCGTTTTAGGTCCTTGTTATTGGGATAATACACAGAACTTTGGAGTTTATACAGCCTTCATTACGTGGTCTTGAAACTGTGTGATGGCTTGACTATAAAGGATGCTTGTGGTAGTGCGAGTAGAATCTAAGTCATGTCTAAATTTACTCTGGCCACAGTCACACAAGAATGAAACGACACGGGTGATTTTTAAAGGGCTAATAAACTTTCCCTTAAGTAATAAATCCCCAGACTATTTTTATGTGTTGTTGGAATGTGTAGCCAGCTGGCCAGAAAATCCTATTGCTTTCTACTACTTAGATATCTTTAAATTGTCTCTTTGCTCTTCATCCTGGCTGCTGAGATCTTCCGTTCTCCTCTGTTACCTTCCAAGGGGACCGGTTTCCCCAGCCAGTCCATTCTGCTTTGGACCCCAGAAGGCCTTTGTTTTTGTTATTTCTCACCTGGACCAAGGCAAATCTGGAGAAGTTGCTTTCCCTTTATAATGCTGCTCATACACGCGATGGAGTTGCCTATGGACCGTGGGCTCCGGGA